CCTCTGGGATCCAAGGGAGGAGAGGCTGGGGGCTTAAACTCCTGGGACTGAGGGAGGAGGGGCTGGGAGCTGGGCCCTGGGGAGGCCAGGCCTGCAGGCCGGCAGAGTTGGGAAGGTTACAGGGGACGAAGGAGGGATAAAACTGGGGTGTGTGGGGGCTCTCCTCTGATCTGTGACAGGCTTGGGGCAGGATGTTGCTTCTGAACCCACCAGCCCCACTTCCTGTGACAGGAAGTCACAATGGCAAATCCTCCAACCCCCAACTCTCTCTACATAAGAAAACAAAACTCTGAACCCTCCTCCCTCAAGGACCAAGTATCCCTGGACCCACACGTTCTTTCCCTCGGGGATCTGCTATCTTTCCGGCGTCCAGTCCCAGAGAAACAAGGAATGGTCCTCGGACAGCTCATCCCCAAGGTGCGTCTGTCTCCCTCACCTGTCTGTCTCCCTGGCCCTCCTTTCCCCGGCCAGCACTCCCTGCTGTCTTTCCCTTGAATCTACCTCATCTTTGCCTCTCTTCTCCATTTCCTCATTTTCTCTCGTCCTTCCTTCAGACCTGTCTCATTTTTCCCACTGTCTCTGCCGCCCGCCCTCCTCCTCTCCCCTTGGCCATCTCCACCCCGTCCCTGCTTCTGTGGCTCCCTGCTTTTCCCTCTGTCTCGGCCGTCTTCCCACATTGCTTTCTGCAGCCACTGCCCCTGCACCCCTCTGCCTTGCTGCTTCATCTCTCTCTCCCCTGTCATCTCCCTTAGAGTCTCCACTTCTCCGTGTGTCTTCCCACCAATGTCTTCTGTGTCCTTAATTAGTCTGATCAACGCCACAGGAGCCCATGTCAGGTGGGAAGAACTATAGAAACAGGGGTGGGGTGGACCAGTAGGGGGCGCTCTCCCCCCTTGCACAGCCTGGGACTATTTATAACCCTAGTCACCTGAGAACCACCCTTCTCCCTGGCCCACAGGCCACCTCCCTAACACTCAATAAACGGCAGCTATGCTTCTGATCATGATCATTAAACAGTGATGCTTTCTGGGGTGTCCAAATGCCACCCCACGAGTTCACCCAAGCAGGCACCATTTTTATTCTTTTCCATAAAGGGTATCTGTCCAACGTTCAAGCTGGGTAATTTAAGATTTGAGCACTGTTAAATGTTCACATAAATAACATTGCAAACCAAGGCAGAAAATAGTAGCAGTTATTTATTCTGAGAGCTAAACTTACACAGCACTTACAGGGTGCCAGGCATCGCTCTGAGTGCTTCTCACATAGTAGCCCACTTAGTCCTCACAAGCACAGGCACCCCAGGCTACTGCTATTCCCATCAGAGAGGGAAACCTTCACCAGGCTGCAACTGTCGGCTGCAATTTTGGGGCTGGAAAACATGACCATGAACATGGAGAGGCCATGCTCACCCCACTTAGGAGTGGACAGGTTCAACAGAAGCAGGGAGACCCCAAAAGAGCACAGGACAGGACACAGGTTATCCGAGCAAATGTGAGGCAGGCCCCGAAATCACACACTTGACACATATTATCTCCTTCATTCCTTGTCACAGTAACGTGAAACAATAACTAACACTTAACATGCGCTAAGTAACACACGGCATTACTTCTTTATAGGTAGTAACCAATTTAATCCTCTCAGCGACCCCATGAGGTCATTGTTACTATCATCCCCACTTCACAGAGAGGGAAACAGACACGGCTCACAGGTCACAGAACCAGAATTCAGGCCCAGGCTGTCCGACTGCACAGTTTGTGCGTTTAACTACCAGAGCATGGGGAACCCAGCCTTAGGAAACTCAAGTCTGAACCAGAGCTGAGACACATTGGGTTTCCTTATGGGGCCTGGAAAAGTCAGAGGTATGTGGGCCCTGTGGCCTGGGCAGGAGTGCTGCTCCACAGAGGGTTAGGGTTGAGGAAGAATGGGGGTGGGGGATTGGCTGCTTAGGAGATGAGGGTGAGGGCCTGCCACAAAGGCTGAAGCTGTCAGATGGATCTGCAGGTAACTGACAAGGCCTGAAGCGCTCTGTGCATGGGGCTGACCGAGTCAGAGAGGTTTACGGGTGGAGATCCTAGGGCAAAGCGGGCACAAAGCGGGAGAGACAATGTGGGCACCTGGGTTCTACCCAGGGCTCAGGGTCTATATGAGATACTGAATGGATGGTCCTGGTCTCCAAGAACCTCCTGGAGCCTTAAAGAACCTAAAATACAGAGCAGTCAGTGCAAGTCTATAAGGGGCCCAGATTCCATTTGACCCATGGCAGGTCAGCAGGGATCTGAAGGTTACGCCTGATCATGGAACCACAGGAAAAGTAGCCAGTCTATGGGATGTCTGGAGACTTAAAAGGGGACCAAAAATCTATAGGGGCCTGTGGTGGTGCCTAGACCCAGGATCTGCAGGGCCCTTAATTTTAGGCGATGCTACTGATCCATGGGGTCCCCACGTCTTTTAGGAGCTGGGTCTCTGTAAGCGGCTAGCAGAAACCTGGGGAGGCTGTGGGACCTTGTAATCTACATAGAATGTGGCGGGTGTACACGAGCCCCCAAACCTACATGGGAAGTGGCGGGTCTACAGGGGCCCCAAATTCTACAGAAAACGTGGATGTGTGCATTGCCAGGGATGCTGGGGCGAAGGTGCGGAGTCAGGGTCTCACGCCCGCTAGGGGCCGCGTGCCTCACCTGCTCGGGGACGGAGAAGCCACCGCAGCTGCCAGAACCGAATCCTCAGCGCGCTGGCTCCGGGATGCCCCCCACCCCGGCCTCCAAGTCGCTCTAGCCGCCCCAGAGGCCGCCTTTGATTGTAACTCCACTCCTCCCGCCAGCCGCTCTAGCCCGGCTCCTGCCCTGCGACTCTACTCCCCCTGCCGGCTGCTTTAGCGCTCCACGGAGCCACGCTGGCCAGACGGGGCCGCTCTGGCTGTCTCGGAGGTCTGGCGTTTCCGTATCTTGACTGCTCCCGTCACTCCCCTGGGCCCCGCCCCCACGCCGGCCGAGGTGCAGACAGTTTCGGTCGGATCGCCGGGGCTCAGTCGGAACTCTCAAGTCACCCGGGCCTCTCAGTTCCACGCCGCATCCTCTGCCTCCCTAACTCGGGGACCACTCGGATCCCCAACGCTCGTGCCTTAGTTCTCCCTGTGTCCCCACCCCGACCCCGGCAGGCTGTCTGCTGGACTGGAAAGCAAAGCCCCTGGGTTGCAGCGTAGCTCTCCCTCCGACGTGCGGCGCACCCTGCAACAAGCAATTGCTTTTCCCCGAGCCTCAGTCTTCCCATCTGTGCAATGGGGGCAGATCGCCAGCTCTGTCCCCTACAACCCAGCTCTCAGGGTATATATAATTCATGGCCCAGAAAAAGAGATTTTCCAAAAACGGTTTCGAAAGCGCTCTGCGCCCGTCAGCTTCGCAGCGGCCCACCGCGTTTACGGGCGTTTCTCTGTGCAGGTGGCCAAAGCCCAGCAGGCGGAGCTGGAGCGCGGCGCTCGGCAGACGGCACCTGCGCGTTCGAATCCCAGCTCCGCTCGGTTTCACGACGCGTGCGCCCTGGCACGAGTCGGTCCAGACCCCGGGCCTCAGTTTCCCCACCCGTGCAGAGGCCATCTGTCCTCCGCTGCACACTGGGAGGCCTCTCCCCCTGCTCCCCGTCCTGGCACTCGGCTGGGATTCGTCCTCCTGCCCTCGCCCCTTTGACGGATGGGAAAACTGAGGCCCGGAGGGCGGCCGCAGGCCCGGGGCGTGGGGCGGCCGGGGAGGTCCCTCGGGGGCCGGCCGCGCCCCGGCCCCTGGTCCGCCTCCCACTTCCCCGAGCGGCCCAGGGGAGGAGCCGGGCGGGGCCGCGGGCCGCGTACCTGGTGTCCGCGCGGGGAGGTGGCCGGCGGGGCGCCCGGGGTCGGGCTCGGCGATCCCGGCCCTGCGTCCCGGCTCCCGCTTCCTGGCTCTGGCGGGGCAGGAAGTCGGGGCGTTTTTTCCGGGGGCCCCCGCCCCGCCGCCCCTCCCCGCTTCCTGCCCGCGCCCCGCGCCCGCCCGGCACCTCCGCTTCCTTCCCCTTCTCGCCGCCCGCCCGGCCCCACCTCTCCGCCCCGGGCCGGCCCGTGGGCGTGCCGGGCGCGGGCGCCGCTCTGCCCGCGCGTCTGCCCCGGGCCGCGGCCACTCCCGGCGCGAGCGCGTCGCCGCAGAAAGGCGGCCTCCCTCCCGCGGCCGACTCGGGGGTCGCTCGGTCTTGCTGTCTGTCCGCCCCTCTGGGGTTCGGTCCCGGCCCGCCCGGCCCGCCCGTCTGTGCGGGAGCGTCCCTCTGTCCCGCTCCCCGTCTCTCCCTGGGGGTCGCCCCGCCCGTCCGCCCTGCTCGCTGTCACTTGCGCCCTTGGCGCCCTTCCCTTCCCTTCCCTGCTCTCTGCGCAGTCACCTCGGCACTTCCCCACCTGTTGCTGTCCTCTCCGTGTCCGTTTTTCTCTTCTTTCCTTTCTGTCGTTTTCTGCTGTGTCGCTGCTTCCCTGCCCTTCACTGTCTGGCCCTTCACCAGCTCTGCCTCCGTCACCGTCCCTCCGCGCGTCTGCCTTCCTCCCCTCTCCGTCTCGGAGACTCCGCATCTCTGTGCCCGTCATTGCCCCTCCGGCCATGGCCACAGACTCTCCACATCCCCTGCCCCAAGTCCACTCTCAGAGAACAGGTGTAGCCGCAGAAGAGCTCGGAACCAGCCCCGTCGCAGCCCCCTGTGATTCTGGGACTTAGATTCGCGTAAACAAATGGGGTCACTTCCATTCACTCTTGTGTACCCGCTTCGCAGGGAAGACATCGGCTGGGGAGGGGAGGGGCCCTCCCCAAGACACTTTCTGTTTCTCTCAGGGGGCAGCCAAGACTGGCTACCTGGTCCTGGGCAGTGGGAGTGGGCAGCAGCTGGGGGCCCAGAGTCTTGGGTGTCAGGGAGGAGGGGACTGGAGGCCTGGACGCCTGGGTCCCAGGGCAGGAGGGTGGGTGGTTCCCATGAGATCCATGACTCCTGCCAAGATCTGCCGTTGGGAAGCATTTATTAACACTAAGTGGCCGTGCCAGAGCTGGGAAGGGGGGGAGGTGACACAGAGGCCGCTACAATCAATCCCCTAGAGGCAGCAATTAAGGGCTCATTACCAGCTGGGTGGGTGAGTGGGTGGGAGCCTGGAAAAGGCATTAGAGGGGAGGACAATCTGGAGGAAGAGCAGACCTTCCAAGGGGGAGGGCCATGCAGAGCCCTCCCAGAGATGCCTGTGGAAAGAGCAAGTTCCAGGGAAGGGCGAGACGCTGGAGTTGGGGCCACAGCAGTTAGGGACGGCCAGGCCAGCTGGCCACAGTCACGGCTTCTCCAGCTGGACGTCTCCGATGTGGAGGCTGCCCACGTCCTGGTAGGTGCCCTGGAGGCCCCGGGAGATGTCCTCATACATGGAGCAGTCATCAAGGTTCAGGCCCTGGGGTGCAGACATGGTGGTGGGCCTCAGTGTCCCGATGCCCGGGTCCCTGCCCCCTGAGGGCCCCAGAGCTCCTGCTCCTAACCTGTCCCAACCCCCCACTCACCTCGTAAAGATTTTCATCTTCATAGTCATCCTGGGCATCCACTCCGAACTTCATATTCTGCCATCGTTTCTGTGGGGGATTGGAAGCCTCAGTGGGGGGTGGCGGGGATGGTGGAGGGGGGTATGTTTTCGGGCCTTTCTAGATGCCAGGAGGTGCTTTATCAGAGCAAGTAAGGGAAGTTGCTCAAAAGCCACATGTCTGGTAAGTAGTGAGTCCCTCTGGGCGGGAGCCAGTCCCTTCTGGCTGTCTCCACTAATAGCAACATCAGTGGTCAGTGCTACAGTTGCCCTATGGCCTAAAGAGACTGTAGGTCAGAGAGTCTGCGAGGCCCCTAGCCCCCATCTCCACTGGCATTGGCTACATTTGGAGGGTGGCAGCACTTCTGGGTCTGAAGAGAGTAAAGGACCACCCCCCCCCCAGGGTGCCGGCAGGGTGAGAACACCCCTGGAGAACGGCAGTGAGGACAGCCTGAGGGAAGGCTGGGCAAGGACTCCCCTCCCAGCGCCATGTAAAATCCTGTCCTTGCGGTAACTTGTTTACCTTCCATAGCCCCTGTGGGGTGGGTGCTGTCATTCTCCCAAGTTTTAGGTGGGGACCCTCAGACTCCAGGGCCTGGCCCCGGGTGGCTCACCCTGAACAGCAGCAGTGTCCCGGGCACCACAGCGCAGAACAGCAGGATGATCCCCTCGGCCGTGATGATGTTGTTCTTAGTGCCCTCCCCCATGTCCAGGAAGGGTCTGGGGGTCGGCTCTGTGAGGAGGGTGTGCTGCTCAGAGCCCTGTGCCCACCTGGCCCCAGCCCAGCTCCCGAGCAAGGCCCCACAGGAGTCCCCACTCCACAGAGGAGGAAGCGGTCAGTGTACCCCAGCGGGGCGGGAGGCTGCTGACCATGCAGGCACTGGCTCCATCCCCGCTTCACAGAGGAGGAGGCCCAGAGCCTCCAGCTGCGGGGGACCCTGGGGCCAGGACCCACGCTCACCGCGGATACGGAGATAGGTGCCGCAGGAACGCCACTTGGTGATATTTTTGTTGTCTGTGACTTCGCACTGGTACAGGCCTGAGTGGTTCTTCATTGCTGGTGAGAAGACCAGGTCGCCCGTGGAGTCCTGGCTATCATCACCTAGGAGCTGAGGGGGCCTTGGATTGTGGCCTTGGTGGACCCGAAACCACTTGACCTTGACGTCCTGGGGGCCGCTGTCGTGCAGGCAGTGGAGGCGGGCCTCGTCCCCCACACTCACCATCATTGAGGGTGGGCCCGAATCCGCCCACAGGGCCTGGCCCCCTGGGCCTGCAGAGAGGTGTATGAGTCAGGGACTGTGGGTGGGCACACGGGCTGCAGCCCTGGCTCCCACACCTGCCCCAGTCCTACGTGTGTGTGTGTGGGGGTATGAGGGCACATCTGGAGAAGGAGGGGGGTACAGAGGACATGTAGTGTTGGGGCAGGAGTGAGGGGCTTACCTAGGGGAGGAGAGAGACCCCTGGGGAGAGGGAGAGAACACACCTTGGGGCTGAGGACATTCTCTGGGAGGAGAGTGTGACACCTGGGGAGGTGACACAGCCCTGAGGGGTCCCTACTCCCCTCTCCAGGGCCACCTCTTGCGTTTGGATACTCATCTCCAAACCGGTGCCAGAGTGCCCCTGCCCAGGCAGCTACTCCACAGCTAGTCAGGGCATCACCTCCTCCAGGAGGCCTTCCTGCCTACCTTTCCCAGCCCAGCCCTGCCCCCCCGACACACTTTATCTTACGTAATCTTCACAAAACCCTTAGAGGAATGTTCTCTTGTGATGCCATTTTTGTAAGTGGGACAGCAGAGGCCCAGGGCAGCAGGAATGGCTGCGAGTTCAAACCCTGCCCCCCCCCCCCCCCGCCCTGGCCAGTCTGTGGGTCTGCCTCGTCCTGTGTCTCTGAGCTCACTCCTCTTTCTCTGTAACTTGCATGTGTCGACCTGGGGGTCAGGGGTGAATTTAGTTCTTGCTCTGGGGATTAGGGGAGTGTCTCAGCAGGGCGAGTGGCCCAGACTGGGTGCTCTGGGAAACCCCAGCTTTCAGTGCCTCAGGCCAGTCCACAGGCCTGTGCTGCCTCTTAACTGAGAGGGAAGTGGGGGGAGGTGAGGAAGAAACAAGGAGGAAGAAGTGGGGAAAGAGGCAGCAACCTCAGGGTCAGGGGTTCTAATCCTGACTCCCAGTGTAGCCTTGTGTGACCAGCTTCCTCTCTGAACTCCTCGGTTAAACAGGTGGTCACAACCCCTGCCAGCTGACTTTGCTGAGGGAGGCTGGGGAGGGTGGTGTGGTGGGAAGCACCCCTCCCCCAGCACTAGAAGGGGCTCCTCCGCGGGGAGGAGGTGGGGGACTGGGATTGGAGCCAGTGAAAGGGAGAGCTTTTTCTTCCCTCTCAAGCTGAGTGCTCCCCCAGGTCCCTTCCTGTCCCCAGCTCTGAAGCTCAGTCAAGGGTCATCCTAATTCCTCACTTTGACCTGTGGGACGGGGTGGGGAAGGCAGTTCTGGCCCCTGCCTCCCTCCATGGGGTGGTGGATGCCCCTTCAATGTGGCCGAGCCCCCTGCAGCCTCCCCTAGGCCCGTTTGAGACACAGACGGAGTTTCAGCAGATGCCTCTCCCCACTCCCCTCCTGTTGGCTCCTCTCCGTCCCACTCCCTGAAGCCCTTCCTTCTGCCTGTGCTCTCTCGCCAGCCTCCTCAATTCCCCTCCCTCCACCCCTCTCCCCCGTACACTTCTGTTAGCCACCTACCCAGGCCAGCAGCACAGATCAGGAGGAGGAAGACTGTCCCAGGCGGGGGTTGCAGGACTCCAGGACCCCCAGGCATCTTCCTACCAGTGGGTCGGCTCGTCTGGGTGTGCAGCAGTCCTGGGGTACCAGCTCCCACCTCGGTGGGCCCCAGACTCCACCCTACTTCCTGCCGAGCCCTGCCGGAGATGGGCTCCACCGGCCCCACTGCTGGGCCCTTCTCGGGGCAGCTCCTGCCAGCAGTGCTTCAGGCTGGGAGCAGAGAGGAACTGCTCCCTGCACCTGTGGTGGCCACAATTCCCCTGAGAGGAGCTTGCTGGGGTGGGGGAAAGAGGCTAGTTCACGGCCTGGCTCCTCCCTGGGTGTCTGCTGTGTGCAGGTGGTCAGGGCAGCGACTCTGAGCTTTGTTAGTCTGTGCCCCACTGGCCTTGGGGGAAACATGTGCCCTGTCTGAGCCTCTGTGTCCTCACTTCGTGGGGTTGGGAGTGAGGGTGGAAAGGCATCGTGCATGCGCAGCCCGGCACACACCACCCGCCACGTAGTAGGTGCTCAGTAAATGCTGGTTATTATTAATGCTCACGAGGAATAAATGAGGCAGGCCTGTTTATGACTAAGCAGGGTCTTCACTTTCCCCAAATGCCAAGAGTCTTGGCATATTGCTTATGCTATAAGCAATAAACTATAGTTGTCCTGATTTCCCCCCTTTGCCTCCTTCCATCCAGCAGCCCCCCAGCCCCTCAGGCAATCTCCCCACCATTATTCACGTCCATGGGTCATGTGTGTAGGTTCTTTGGCTACTCCCTTTCCTATACTGTGCTTTACATCCCCGTGGCTATTCTGTAACTACCTATTTGTACTTCCTTTTTTTTTTTTTAAAGACTTTATTTATTTTTAGAGAAAGGGAAAGGGAGGGGGAAAGAGAGAGAAACATCAGTCGATTGGTTACTTCTGACATGCCCTCAAGTGGGGACCCAGCCTGCAACCCAGGCAGGCATGTGTCCTGACTGAGAATTGAACTGGTGACTTTTCCGTGTGCAGGCGGGCACTCGATCCACTGAGCCACACCAGCCAGGGCCCTATTTGTACTTCTTAATCCCCTCACCTCGTCACTCATTCCCCTACATTCCCCTCCCTTCTGGCAACCACCAAACACTCTCTATGTCCATGATTCTGTCTCTGTTCTTGTTTGCTTAGTTTGTGTTTTAGATACAGTTCTTGATCGATATGGTTTTTTTTTTTTTGCACTTTTTTGGTTCAGGTTTGATCTTTTTTTTTAAGTAAGTCCCTTTAACATTTCATATAATAATGGTTTGATGCCCTGGTTGGTGTGGCTCAGTGGATTGGGTGCCAGCCTGTGAACCAAAAGGTCACAGGTTCAATTCCCAGTCAGGGCACATGCCTGGGTTGCAGGCTGGGACTCTGGTTGGGGGCATGCGAGAGGCAACCATACACTGATGTTTCTTTCCCTCTTTTTCTCTCTCCATTCCTCTCTCTAAAAATAAGTAAGTAAAGTCTTTTTAAAAAAATCATGGTTTGGTGATGAACTCCTTTAGATTTTTCTTATCTGGGAAGCTCTTTATCTCCGCTTCAATTCTAAATGGTAGCTTTGCTGGGTAGAACAATATTGGCTGTATGTCCCTGCTTTTTTTGACCTGGAATATTTCTTGCCAGTCCCATCTAGCCTGCATAATTTCTTTTGAGAAATCAGCAGACAGTCTTATGGGAACTCCCATGTAGGTAACCAACTTCTTTTCTCTCCCTGCTTTTAAGGTTCTCTTCTTATCTTTAACCTCTGGCATTTTAATGATGATGTGTCTTGGGGTGCTCCTTCTGGCACCCCTATGATACGAATGTTGGATTGCCTAATGTTGTCCCAGAGGCTGATTATACTATCCTTACTTTTTGGATTCTTTTTTCTTCTTCTTGTTCTGATTGGTTGTTTTTTGCTTCCTTTTGTTCCAAAGCATTGTTTTAATTCTGGGCTTCATTCACTCTACTGTTGCTTCCCTAAAAATTGTTTTTTTTTTTAAAGATTTTATTTATTTCTTTTTAGAGAGAGAGGAAGAGGAGACAGAGGAGGAGAGAACCATCAGTGTGTGGTTGCTCCTCATGCTCCTCATACTGGGACCTGGCCTGCAACCCAGACACGTGCCCTGACTGGGAACTGAACTGGCCACCCTTTGGTTGGCAGCCCACGCTCAATCCACTGAGCTACAGCAGCCAGGGCTGAAAATTGTTCTTTAGCCCTGGCTGGTGTAGCTCAGTGGATTGAGCGTGGGCCTGGGAACCAAGCAACCACGGTTCGATTCCCAGTCAGGGCACATGCCTGGGTTGCAGGCCAGTTCTCTCCCTCTCTCCTTCCTTTCCCCTCTAAAGATAGATAAATAAATAAAATCTTAAAAAAAAAATTGTTCTTTATTTCAGTTGGTGTATCCTTCATTTCTGAGTGGATTGTTTTTATGCTGCTGAGGTCCTCTCTAAGTTCTTTGAGCCTCCTTTTAAGCAGTGTTCTGAACTCTGCATCAGATAGATTGCTTATCTCCATATCTTTTTCTGGAGTTTTGATCTGCTCTTTCATCTGGGCCATGTTTCTTTGTCTCTGCATTTTAGCAGCCTCCCTGTGTTTGTTTCTATGTATTAGGCAGAGCTGCTTTGACTCCCTGTCTTGGTAGCATGGCCTAATGTAGTAGGTGTCCTGTAGGGTCCAGTGGCACAGCCTCCCCTGTCACCCAAGCTGGATACTGAATGTGTGTTTTGCATGTGGTTTGAGTACACCCATCTCTTGTAGTTGAGCCTTAGTTGCTGTTGGCAGACCACCGGGAGGAATTTACCCAGGCCAGTCAGCTGCAAGGATTGGCTGTGACCACTGACCACCAATGTCCATCCTCTATGGAGGATCAACTGTGCAGGGCAGGGTGGTGGCGTTCCGGCATGGTCTGTAGCTGTCCACTAGGTGTGCTGGCCCTGGGGTTTCCTGGGTGGTATAGGCCAAGGTCAGCCCCCACCTGTATTTTGTCCAGGGCCACTCTGCCTGAGCTATAGAGCAATTTGAAATGGCTGCTACTTGTGCCGAGTTTGGAGATTCCCAGGTGAAGCCAAGTCGTAAATCTAGGCTGGCTGCTGCTAGTGCTGGGCCCGTGGCTCACTGAGGCCAGCTGTTGCTTGTTTGAGAAGATTTAGGAAGTTGTGAAGCAGGAGACAAGACCAGACATTCACATGGAAAAGCAGCTTGAGTGGGCCTGTAAGTTGGGCGAGGCAGAGCCTCTGGGGATCTCCAAGGCGTGTCAAATAAGGTTATCCAAATCACTCAGCTAGGGCACCAGCGTGGCAGCTCTGTCCTCCGTGGGGCAGGTTTAGAAAAGGGACAATGGCCTCTGCTCGCCTTGAGGCCAGACACTTCAGGTCCTCCCTACATGCCACTGGTGCCTTTCAAGCTGCCACCCTGGTGCTGGAGCTCAGAGGGAGTGAGTCTGATTAGGTGAGTCCACGTGAGGGTTCTTTAAGAGGAACTGCTTGGGGCTCTAGAAGTTTCTTGTACCAGACTCAATCCCTGCTGGTTTTTGCAGCTGAAGTTGTCAGGACTTATTTTCTAGCCACTGGAACCCTGGGCTGCAGGGGCCTGGTGTGGGGCCGGGGCTCCTTGCTCCTGAAATAGCCCTCCCAAATTTTTATCCATCACACGCGGGTGACGGACCAGCCTGTTCCACATCTGTGCTCCTACCAATCTGGGTGGATGTGGTTTCTTTAATTCCGTAGTTATCAGACTTCCATTCAACTTGATTTCTGATGGTTCTGAGTGTTGATTGTTCTATATTTTTGTTGTAATTTTGATGTGGTTGTGCGAGGAGGTGAGCCGTGTCTGACTATGCGCCATGTTGACTGGAAGTCCGAAGCCTTGGCATTTTTAATCCGAGAGATTAGGGTGAGAGTATCGCCCTAGTGTTGGCATGAAATGATGTTCCCTGTACCCAGAGAGTGAATAGCCACGGTGGGTACTTTTCGGTCAGCTTCCCCACAAGTGGACAAGCCCATTTACAGAGGAGAAGCTGAGGCCCAGAGAGGGGACGTTTTCACTGTCACACGCCTGGTGTTATGTAGGCTGGTGGAGGAGCAGGGATTCAAAGTCGCTGTGTGCCCAGGTTCCTCTGAGCATCGTTTTAGGTCACATGGGAGTGAAATGAGGTCTGAGGGGGTGGGGGCGGTGAACGATACATGGTCGTTGAGATGTTTCCAAGCAGTAAGAGAACCATCACACACTCTCGTATATAAGGAAAAAAAAGGTACTGTCAGGCGATTTTTGGTAGCAAAAACCAGGAAACAAGTGAAAGCCCATGTATAGGAGGATGGATGTGCACCCTCCTCCGACAGAGAAGTGCACAGCAGGCAGAAAGGCAGAGCTTCCCACGTCGGCGGGGCTGCACCGAGGAAAAAAAACAACCATGAAAATGAGAAGGCGCGGTAGCGTGAAACAGTTGACTTGTTTTCGAAAGGCAAAACAACACTGTGAGCTGTCAGGGGCACGTGTGTCTGTAGTGAAGGTGTAGACCCCCGAGGGGACGTGACAGCAGTTCCTGACAGGCGTCACCTCTGGGGGAGCCAGGAGGTTGTGACCGGGAAGGGTGCACAGAGGGCTTGGACCACCTCCACTTTATGACTTGTTTTGTTTCTTCAGTCGTGTGGTGGGTTCATGAGTCTTCGTTACACTACCACCTGCACTGTTTGGCTTGCTTGAAGTATTTCATAATTTTTAGAAAAGCAACCCTCACAAAAGAGCACGGCCTCCAAATCGCCATCCCTGGGTTTGAATCTCAACTCTGCCAACTGACTGGTCAGTCCTCTGAGCCTCAGTTTCTTCTCCTGTACTGTGGCCACAACACTCCACCTTGTGAGGCTGTGAGGGTGCTTAGCATAGTTCCTAGGAGAAGGTCCTCTCCTTTGGCTGGGTGGCCCTCTCCCTTTTCCTCCAGGGACCCCAGTGTTCTGTGGGGACCCTCGATGTATACAGCAGGTCACTAGTCCCTCCGTGCTTCAGTTCTTCCTCATGATTCCCTTCTAAGGAAGAAGCTTCTGCGGCCCTAGAAATTCGCCTGCTCCACATCCACCAGCGGCTGAGCGGGTTTCTAGGCTCTCGACTGCCGCCCAGTGGTGGAGAGGCGCGGCCGCAGGATTGCGGGCCCTCTCAGGGCTGTCTGGCCTGCTTGGGCGCCTCCACCTCCCACTCACCCGGTGCCTCTGGGGTTGGGCGCTGTGCATGGGAACCAGATGACTGGCACTGGGTTCTCATGAGAACTCTTGGAGATGT